CTCAAATTGAAGCCATGGGCTTTTATGCGTGGGCTTTTATGTGAACTTTAGATGGTCTTCTTTTCGAGATGGGGCTTCTTTTTGAGATGGGCTTCTTTTCGAGCCTACACTACAGTACTTTTGCAAAGTAAAGAGTGGAGCTTCTTTGCACAAAGAATGCTGCAAATTTTGGGAATTTGTATTATAAAACATCAGTCTGCATCATGGAGCATATTAACTGGCATTAAATCACTAAAACTACTGTATAAACCAAGCATGTTTTTAATTTATTTTGTTTTTTTGGAATTCATATACAGTGTAACTCAAAAAGAAGCCTATACTACCTTTAATGCTAAATTTGCAAACTAAAGAGGGGATTCAAATCGAGATGGGCTTCTTCTCGAGATTAAGCCCATTTCGAGAAGATGGGCTTAATCTTTTTAAGATTTTACTGTAGGTTATCTACCCGTCAATTATCCACTGCCATTAGTTAATGAATATAGACTTGATGAAAAGTACACTCCATTTGTTGACAATGCACAAACACCAAATACAGCTTTTGGATGACTTATATAGATGGATTAATAACCAATATACTGTATTAATGATTATAATTATACAGTTTCTAATATCGAAAAGGTCATTTTTAATTTGTTTACAGTAGCTGAGTCTCTAAAACCTACCATAGACAAGCCTAGCCATATGCTTATGTCATTCAGAAAAAATTCAGAGTTTCAATGCTTTCTTCGGATGAGACCTTTCCTTATTTTGCAAAAACCACCTGAACGGCTATAATGATTAATTTGAATTAAAATAAATTTTATATTTTGGCCATAGCGCAACTGGAAATTTGAAAAAAAAATGTTTTTTTTTTTTTTATTTCTTGCCGCAACAATTATTTCCATATTGTCTCAGAATTAAACAAAACAGTATATAAATTTAGTCCAATTATTTAACTGTTTACATTCCTTTATTAAATTAATTATACAACAATATCGAGTGATGGCGCCCTCAATTAACCTTTTATTTCACACACTTTTTTGTTTCATCAATAAAATTGTACTTTTATTTATGCCTCTTCATAGGTTTTTTTGGTAGCCATTTTGCTAAATATGGAAATATAATGTTAATTTTATTGATTTACTGCAGGGAGTTGGTAATGAATTTAGAGTGGAGGTTTGCTGAGTAGTTGGGTTTGCTAAAGTTCTGGTAAAAATATTAAAAATATTACACTACAATCAATGAATTTGGATCAGTTACTTGAAATCTAACAGAGAAAAATGTGTTTCATGTTTTAAATATTTTACTTTGAATGTCCAAATCCTACAAGTATGTGTTGCGTAGTATTACTATGCATACAACTCATCAATATTGCCACACTGCATTATGTCCTGAGGGTAACCACATACCTTTCATCATAAACTGCTGAATAGACATGAATAAGTAAAATGTAAATCACAAATATTCTTCACTGCCAATATGAAATGACAATCAAATTGATGCATTTTATCATAAATTGCTACATACAAAATAAATGAATACAGTACAAGATGTGAGGAATTCTATGAAACATTTTAGCAAAGCTTATATTTTATAGTTTAGATGCTTGCCTTCCACTCAGATATAATCTGCTGATGGGAGGAGGAAATGAGAAAGTGAGGGACAGTAGGAAAATGAGGGGAGGGGCTGGAAGAATAAGCCTTCCATTCTCTCCCACTTGCTTAGATACAATACTGCTCTTCCAATCACAGAGTTATTGGTTCAAATTCTATCCCCTTTCTCGCAACTAAATCCACTTTTCTGAAGCTTCACACATAATAAGACTTAGTTACACTGTACATCGTGTAAAAGGCAAGTCACTCACATTTGGTTGAGAATGAGGTAAAAAAATTTTAAAAATTGCTGTATGTTTAAAACTCTGAAAACATGACCTACTTTACAATAATATTCATTTCTGATGATTTTCCTGAAACAATACAGGTTAAAAGATTAGGGCACATAAAAAAATTATTAGATTATCACTTTTTTTTTTAAATTGCTGGGGGAGGGCAGTTTTTTTTGTTTTTTTTTTGTTTTTTAATTGGATCAACATATTATTTTGTTTTTGTTTTTATCGATGAGGGAGGGACTGTTTGTATTTGGCTAGTAATTGTAAATATTGTATAAAAACTGGTTTAATTTATATAGTTTTTTAAAGAAAATGTATTTGAAGTCACAAAATTGCATTGTTATTTTTATGCTGTTGAAATAATTGATGCGGCAAAAAAAAATTATTTTTTTTTATTCCAGCATCAATATTTCCCAAATTTTTTATGTGGGCAGGAGTGATAATCTAATAAATTTTTCTATTTGCCCTTACGTACGGTACTAACCTTTTGAGATGTTGTATTCTAGCTATAATATTCACAATAATTATCTCTTGGTATTAAATTAACATCAAAGTTGATGCCAGATAATGTTATTGCCTACCAATTGGGTGAACAAATGGAGAATAGTCATTGTTTGTATACAGCTGTACAATCACACATCAACAAATATTGACAATTGACTTGTCAGGGTACTTGTCAACTTAAGTTATTTGAAAGTGGGCATTTGTATCACATTAGTGTACATTCACAGAACCTGTGGTTGGCCTACAATGGTTACTTACTGTACACTGACAGTGCACGGTACTGCACCCTTATTCCAATTCTGCTTTTCATAAGCATCAGTCATTGAACCACACCATTCAGTCTAGATCTTCATTGTGGTTGATTGCAATGAATCAAGTACTCCATTTGCTACCAATGGCAATTTACAGACACATTCAGACATTTAAAAAAACATTAAAAGTCAACTGACTGGTTGACTGATCTCAGCATATCAGAGTCTGTAAAATTTATTGCGATTGGATTTCATGGTGGTCACGATTGTGATTGGATGCGACTGGTAACAAAACCAGTGCTGAAACTGATCGCAAATAAGCTACACTATGTCTGAATGGGGTAAAGGTAGTGGTATAGATAACAAATTAGACAAAATGGAGTGTATGCAAAACATTGGGCTTATTCGACTGGTTCATTTCGTTGAGTATGAATTTTCGTTAAGTATTATTTTCATTTGACTGGTTTGTAAAATAGACTTCGTTGACAACCAGAATGTGTTAATCAGCGTTAAGTTATGCACGTGACCAAAAACAATATGGCCAATTGGTCAGTTTAGCAACATCATTTGCGTTAATATAATTTAGATTAAATTTCAGAAAATAGAAATTATAATATTTACCCACATTGAAGTCAAAAAATAGTTGTAGGCTAACAGAATTCAAAAACTGGATGAAAACATTTTTTTTAACGAAAAACCCATACTGCCACAATCCGAAGCAGCCTTGATTATGTAGCGTGTATTGCGGTAACTATGCAGCCATTTTGTTTTGTTGAGTATTTACCAGTTCCTATTCAACTGGTTGTCTTCATTAAGTAGGATTTTACCACTGCGCAGGTGGCATGGTTTAACAAAGAACGACCAGTCGAATACGGCCAATGGTTGTATTCTAAATCACACACCTGCTCACTCCCACCCCCACTTTTTTTTTTTAGATTGACTTGGCATTCCAATTCTCATGTTCTAGATACAGGTATTTCCGATTAAGCACGCTAAATTCTGGTATGTGTAAGCATATCCACAGTCATCTTGGGTCAACAATGTAAAGCAAATTTTGAACTTGTGTTGATGTTAACTCCAGGCTTTATGTAAACTAAGACATTGCCTCTTCCTAAATTTCTCACAAATTAATCAACTTACAACTTAATTACTGTAAATATTTAGTTTCTGGAGTGCAAGATAAACAGAATTACAGTACTTGAATTAGGACTAATACCACATAAATTTAATGAATTAAAATTTGTGAAAAAAATTCAATTGCTTTAGTTATAAAGCAAATAAAACTTAGATTAGGAAGAAATGTTGTAGCTAATTAAGAGATGTTTAAATAATACCATATCTATAGTCTTTGAATAGAACCTTCAATTTCTGCACCAAATTTATAAATGTTCATAATAAAAGGTTGCAGTGATTTTTCATTTCATTTATTTTGGCTAAAGTACACAAAAAAAAACAACTGGGTAAAATACAACATAATAAGCATAAAACATCAGAAACAGGCCAAGATCAGATTCCTAAAAAGTGAACACTATCTACTTCTCGAGTGCACTATTCCGATTATGCTATAATAAAATGTATATTATACTATATTAAATATAGAACTATCAGCACAGCTGAGCTTATCATTGTTGGCCACAAGTGTTAGATGAGCACAACCCTTCTGGAAAATTGGTAATTTATGTGACCTTTTTTCTTAATCTTTTGGATGGTAGTAGTATTGCATGTTCAAACTACCGTAATTGATTTTAAAGGAAAGGTCTAATAATAATAAACAATTACACAGTCATTGGTAGCAGATTCCTTTCATCACCAAATTTACCGTAATTAAATTTTAAATTTCAGAGCACAAAACAAACAGTATTGTACCTTGAATTGACAACAATCATGTTTATTGATTGTTTCAATAATCTTCCTCATTCATCCTAGGCCTGTTTACCATTTATTCTCTTCACGATCGTTCTAACGCCGTTTTGGACCGGAACAGAGAGGTTGGGGAGCCACCGTTTGGGCTTCATTTTTATGAAATTCACCCAGCCCCAATTTACCAATATAACGTTGCTAACTGCAAACAGCGGAGGTACCCACAACAAAAAGACTAGTCATAAAAGAACATTGTCCTCAACCAACAAGACCTTTCGACCTACGATATGAATTTCCGATACATATTTAGGCCTATTTAGTATAACTTTACAATGGGGTTTGGCAGGGGGCTGGTAGTAGCTAAGCTTCAAGTGTGTGCTTTTTTATCAGCTCGTTTAGGCATGACTATTAATAATTTAATACGAAGTTCAGACTTAATTCAATAGATTATACAGATATTGAGTGCGTACGTCAGCATCAGTAAATTGTAATACTATAGAGTTGAGAACTAAACTTACCCGAGCTAAAAACCATCCACACAGGAATCCAATGCAACACAACTACCAAACAAACATCCACACTGTCGTCTAGTCTGTGCTAAAATAGCAAAATGATTTGGATATACCTTTCGCTGCAGGTTTTTTGGTTTCGTTCATTCGTTGTGACTCACTGAAGCGTGACGATTACGCATTGAGAGCATCAACAAACCGGATCGTCAAATTTTAGTTCAGATAAATCAATATGAAGATCATTAATTCATCACTTTTGACGTAGTTAGGAATTAATGGTTAAATATTGAATAATTGCTCTAATTTGGTAAATTTCAACATTTAGTATCTCATGATTATGTAATTCAAAGAAAGAAGAGAAAGGAATTCCTTTGATCTAAAACCCAGCTAAACAGTAAAATCATTATTAGATAACGTTGGTTTAAAAAAACGTTTTTGTAGAATTTATAACGTAATTTCTGATTGAATAACGTTTAGTCAAAATGTAAAACACCCCTCTCCCTGCCCCGAGAAAGAAAACGAAAGAAAGGTATATTGCATTTATTTTCCCTCCTCTATTATCCATCCCCAACCCCGTGTCAATACTCTATCTACTTCGCCACTGCTATGCCCAGGGGCGGCGCCAGGAATTCCCCGACGAGGCGTCCAAGCTCCCCGACTAGGGGTCCACCCCCCCCCGTCTGAAGCCTAGCACTCCCACCCCTGTCGGGGAAAAATGTGTTGACGGTATTTTTTTATTTAAAAATTATAATTTGATAGAAAACCATGCAAGTTATGAGGTCCACCTTTCGGAGGTACCATTCCCCTGTCGGGGAAAATCTGGCGCTACCACCGCAACCCATACGATCGCGATAGTACCGTATGCAACACCTCGCAATACGGTAGCACTGCTCGCACAAAACAGTTTTTAATCCCTAAAATTTGACTGGTAAGTAAGGCATACATAAAATTGTACTTTCGGCGGTCGAGATTTCATTTTTCCCTGACGACCTTGCTGGAAATTCCCCGACAGGGAGTCCAAGCGGGGGGGGGGGGGGTCCAGAGGTTCTCGACGGGGCGTCCAGAGGTCCCTTGGACCCCCCCCCCCCCCAAAGAGACAGCGCCACACCTGGCTATGCCTTCAAGAAGTTTATTGTCATATAATTACCACCATGTTGCAATAAAGTAAACTTCACACTTACGAGAGGTTTGGCAATCATTTCTAGAAATGGTCGAAGACTGATGACATAATATAATCCAGCGATGTTACCTCGGCGACCCAGATACTTCGTTTACGAATCTTAAAATATATTTATTTTTATATATCTGCAAAATAGTTATTCAGGATATCATATTCAGTGTACAACAGAACGACATTGAAAGGAAATACATTGTTTTTCATAAGGTCCTGACTATTACAACATTGGATTATTATATACAACTTGACAAAAGATAAAATTCAGAATGTAATGGTACCGAAATTTTGAGACTTTAGGGTTTCAATTAAAATACTTAAAAGATCTGTTGTTTATAATTAATTCTTGCAACTCTGAATTTATGCGTAAAGTGGATCCACTAATTGTCCCGCACTGTTTGAAAATCCTGGCTACGGCATTGGGCCTATAAGCATTAGATGAGTCACTGTCAATAAAACAATTCCCGGAAGAAGAGTATACTTAATAAAAGCATTAGGGACTAATGATATGAGACTAATTAGAAGGCTGACGTCTTTCTCATATCTACAATTGATTTTATATGATTTATTTATATATACAGTACAATTCTTACACTCAAGAATCTTTACACACACATTTTCATCAGCTAAAAAGTTACCAACAACGATGGACTGACGGTGTTCCATATAAAAACACAGTAATGGGAGAAAAGTACCAACCTGTTGATCTCTGTGTGAATATTGAATAATAGGCTAACATGCAGCGACAGGCTTGGACAACTTGTAAAAATTCAGCTTTATGTTCATTGATCACAGATCAAACTTTGGAGCGTATATAAAGCACGATTTTAAAACATTTTCATCGTAATGAAAAAAGAAACTAATATTCAAAAACAAACAACTTAAAGCAAAAGCGGTGTATGAATTCAAATAAATATTTACAATAGATTTCAGTGGTCCATTTTACGACCAAGTTTTACACAAACATTAGCAGTTTAATAGTTGTATAATATCTTTGTATCATTTTAAATAACAATGCAGTTCATATGCTTGGCAATGTGTAAACATTCAGAAACATTTTGAGCACACTTAGGTTCAGCAAACGATGAGAATGAGCGCACGATTAAAATACATTTTCATTGTAGGCCTAATATAACAGCTATCTTTAAAACAAACAGCTTCATAAAAAAAGGGGGATGTAAGGCCATGGTATGCAAAACAGATATGTATGGATTCCGCTTGTTCATTGATCTCAACTTCGAAGTTTGGGTGTCATAATTTCAACAGTTTAATACTCGGGGCCATATCTCTACACTTCCACTCCTTGTATCGAATTATATTACTGTCATGGATATATGGAACGCCGATCAATGATGATAACCAGTGAACCGTCGATGATGAAATGTAAACCGTCGATGATGAAAAAGTGAATTGTCGATGATAAAAAGTGAATCGTTGTTTATATGAAAAGGGAACCGTCGATGATGAAAAATGAATCGTCAATGATGAAAAAAGTGAATCTTCGATGATAAAAAGTGAATTTTCGATGATGAAAAAGTAAATCATCGATGATGAAAAAATTGAATCGTGGATAATAAAACAAGTGAATGTCGATTATGAACAAAGTGAATTGTCGATGATAAAGTGAATCGTCGATGATGAAGCAGGTAAATCGTCGATGATGAAACAAGTGAATCGTCGATGATATTTCCCCATGAATAAATAAAGAGCAAGGAACACGAACACATAATATAATAAATAACAGTGACTGTCTATATATAACCCTTCTCAACAATAAACGCCACGGAACGTTTATTCGAATAATATATACGGTAATTAAAAATGTAATAGTCATAGTTGAAATAATGAAAATCAGCGCACACATATTCCTCCCTGTGATGAATGTTGATTAATTATGCATTGCGACATATTGTCATATTGTTATATTCGAATAAACGCCCTACTTTGAATAAACGCCTCCCTCGAATAAACACCCCCTAAATGACTGTGAACAAAACTCTAATAATGTTTTACTCCAGTAGAATTACAATTTTTTTCCCAACCTGGTTGGACCAATAAGTCTTTATGGTCACACAATAACACATTTTGACGGTAAATATGTGTTGTAGTTCCACATTTACAGTGAATTTAAGGGGCGTTTATTGGGTATTCGTGTCAACATTTACACACAGAAATAAATAAACGGCTCCCTTTAATAAACACCTGCCTAAAAAAAAACCTTTCCCTTGAGGTAGGCCTATATGTAAAAAATACATATTTTTTCTTTCCCGACGAATTGTGGTTTTCTCCCAGTGATGGGGGAAAGCTCTCCCCGAAGGGGGAAAGCTCTCTTCGAAGGGGGCCTGGCCCCGAGCCACCCCTGGCCCCCTCGTCGGGGAGGGAGAGCTTCCCCTCCCCGTCGGGGAGAAAAACCACAATTCGTCGGAAAGAAAAAAAAAATCGACCCAACAAAATATATTGGCGACCCAGTCGCGACATACTTTGAATACCAGGGGGTTTAAAAAACTAGCGTAACTTGTTATGAGTTCAAAATTGCATTCGAAAAGCAACCCCTTGTTAAAGCCGAAGCGCCAGGTTATAATTTATGCCACTTGAACTATACCAAAGCAAAAAGAAATGAAAATAAATGCACCGTGAAAGGAACTACAATAGTCTGTGACGGCTGAGATTTAGTATAGCTACGAGGTGAATTGAAGATAGCTGTAATTCAAGTGACAATGAATTAATTAGACAACATCCAAGGGAAAAATAATCGATTTTAAGATACTCAGTAATCCGTTGCATTGACCTGAAATTAAAGTAAGAATGCGATGTGGTGACATTGACAATATTAGAGGATTGTTTTCTATGAGCTCTTTTATTCTTAATTACTGTGTGTTAAGCTAACAACTTAAAAAGTAAAAAGAGCACTGAAATATAAGCGAACAGAAATGCAAAAATTAGTGCAGCGTGAAATAAGTATATATACTGTGATTAGAAGAGCTAGGACACTTAAGTGAAATTGACTGCTGTAGTTTAATCAGTAGTGATTATACAAATTGGAGGAGAAAAGTACACTCGATATCAAAGAAACCATTAAATTCGTTGCCTTGCATTAAGTGAGTTAGGCGAAAATATGTGACTCGCTGCGCGTGTCAGAGCGCTCTGTTACCCAGGGCAGGCGGAACCACACCCGGGGCCGCACCGGCTTTGGCCGGACGCACCACTTTTTCTCAATTCTATTACTTTTTAAAATAAATATATATAGGATACTTATAAATTATATGAATTTATTAATTACTATCATTATTATTACAAAATTCCCTGTTGGGGTTAATAGAGAGTAATTTTACGGGCCTAAAATTTTACTTTAGACCCCAATATTATATATATATAATATAGGGTTCGGCAATCAAAAAAACTTTGATTGAATTTGAAAATAATCCGACGTCTTGGCGTCGGACGAGGGTTTGGGTGGTGGTATCCAGGCTTGTAAGGGGTTGGGAGACCAACAAAATCATCAATTCCAGTGCGATGCAAAGCAACGATAACTAAATTAAATATCAATTCCAAACACGTTATTTATTATCCGCGGCAACCAGAACCACCGAATTTTTGTCAGGGGCTTTTTAGTTAGTGACCTCAATCTGAGGATCGCTTTGCTCTCTGGAAGTTTACTATTAGGCCTATAAGACCAAATACAAAAATCACCAAATTAGTCGCAAGGTACAACTCTGAGAGTGATAAATAATTTATAATTGCTTCGGGCCGAGTTTGGCAAGTGAAATTAAAATTGTACCAGCTGTATGTTATACGAAACTCTACGGTATTCATTAATTTGCAGACCATTTCCAAATATACGATAATGCATCATGTATCCTTTGTATTCACAACACATGTTTTATTTCATATTGTTAATATTTCACAATAATCAGCACGTTGTGTAGCCTAAATGTATTGTCACTGTTGTTAATTGTATTTTATTACGTTCTCGTTTCATGGGCGAAATAGGCCTAATCAGCTCAATTCATCTATTTATGGCCCTGATATATCAAATTTGTGGACAATTTATCATTTTCGCAACAGACTTACATTTTGTCTTATTCACGTGAATTAGATAGGTCTACGAATTGTGATATGGTCATTATTTTGAGTAATGCTACCGTCCTTCTGTGTCCATATTGGGCCAGCTCTTAGAATTATGTGGGCATATATGCCTGTAGTAGGCCCTCTCTTTTGTGAATATAGGCATTTTCTTGAGACATCGGCTACACCCTGTAAGGTCAAAATATCCCTATATGAACACACACCTTCGCCCCCGGCAACCAGGTCAGCTATGGGGATTTCAGCTGTGATCATAGCTAGTAACAAATCACAATTTAGTAAAAGTACGATACATTTATACTGGATATCTGTCTTTTTCATATTTGTATCTGTATACTATATTATTAGTCAATATTCCGGCCCCGAAACCTAGACTACACTATTACTCAATAAAAAAAAATAGTAATCAATTGTAAATAATTCGCTTTCATAAATGTTTCTGTCCAGAAATTCTAGACTCAGAAATATAAGAATGCGAGGGATGTGTTTTCTATGGATTAATTCAGTAAAGAGAAATTAGTTAAACTGTATCAAGCTTTGCTAGCCTGACGGTCTCGGCCAATTTATATGCGTCAACGGCCTCGGACTCATACTCTCGAATCAGGGCCCCTCGGAAACTAGTTACGCCACTGCCTAGAGGAGGTACTTTATTTTCAAAACCATGATGGGGTTGAGGTGGGCTCTAGTCTAAATCTTGTGTCTGTACAGCAGTAGGATAGGGGCTCTCTAGGCCTACAGGATTGCCAGCTGTTTGCAGACATCCAGGTGTCATATTTCCAAATTTTCCTCACTTCAGCCCCAACAATGGTGGTAGACTCTATCTCCATCTAAATTTAAACCTTGCGGCTCCCGAGCTTTCAATATTACGTTATAAGAACGTTATAAAAACGTTACAGTTTGGTGATAAAAACGTTATTTTGTAGAACCATATGTACGTACTTATAACCTAATTTCGCATCGTCACAACGTTTAAACGTTCTTATTAACGTTGCGTTAACGTTATTTTGTGACATATACCAAACCATAACGTTCGCGAACGTTATAAGAACATTTTGTGTTTGCTTTGTCAGGTATGTATATCTGGCCATTCAGAGAGGTGCCAAGAAAGCCGTTCACAGCCATGGCGGGGGCTGGGGCAACTGAGTAGGCCTATGCTCCCAGAACCTACTAATTTTAAAATCCTGTAGGCCTATCCGTGGATAGGAGAAGCGGGTCAGTTTAACAACCAAATTTATTAATCGCCAATCCAACATAATAGAGCCTCGGTCGACGGCCCGGAATAAAAAAAAAATCCCTGGTAGTGTTTAGGTAGAGTTTTTATAACAATAATAATGGTCGACTTATAGAGCGCATAACACAGAGACCTCTACGCGCTTAACATAAATAAGAATACAAATACTGTATAATGATATAGGTACTTAACTAATCCTACTCCTTAAACTAAGCATGGTTTGGCCGTTGGCTCCGAGGAGTTCATCCGCCCTTTGTATGGCTATGGTAAAAATTGTGCTCTAAGGCCACAATATTATTACAAGGGATTAAGCAAATTATTATTTTTTGAATTCTTGATCTGAAGACCTAGTCATGGCGTCGGAGTGACAGGGGAGTCCACTCCTGTCCGACGGGAGGGGGGGGAGGGGATTCCCCACTGGCGCCACCACTGAGTACAGTATAAACACTGCGTATTCACATAGACCTACATATAAGATTTATAAAAGGCCGCCATACTCGATATTTACAGAGCGTCTAGGCCTACTTTTTCTGCCAATGTATATTGCATGGAGTCACAATAAGGAAAATGGGAAAACGGTTGTCTTTGAAATTTAATTATCAAAGGCCTACGAACCCAGATATTAAATTTAATTAGGCCTAGATAAAAGTTTGTCAATGGCTGTAACAGAATTCCATACCAGGAATGGAAGTGTAGAGATACGGACACTATTTATTAGAACTGTTGAAAATAAGACAAAAACGCCTTCAATTATAGGCCTCAGTATCCGACTTCGGAGTTCAGATTATGCTGATGGACACTGTAGAATCGATCTATCATATCTGTTTTGCATACCGTGGCCTTACACCGCTTTTTGTTATGAAACTGTTTGTTTTTAAGTATATTATAGCTGCTATATTACAATGAAAATGCATTTTAATTTGCGGTTTTTAACGTTTCCTGAAGGTTGTTAAATGTTAAAATGACCAAGCATGTGAGTGCATGTTAATCAATCAGGCTAAAACGATATTCAACGATTACAGCTGACTGCTTATGTTTGTTTTACATGTCTAATGGGACAACACATTGTAACTCATAGTACAAATACATGTAAAAATTGGTCGAAAAATTTGATAAGAATAGGTACTAAAATGTATTATAAATATTTATTTGAATTTATTCATACATACACAATTTTATTTTAAGTTGTACGTTTGTTTTCAATATTATAATTTTCATTACGATTAATATGTTTGATAATCGTGCTGTATATACCGCTCCCAAGTTTGATCTAGGATCAACCGAAGGTTATGAATTTTACAAGCTTTTTTACAAGGTTATGTGGATTAAGGATGTGTCACTGAGGTATTACTGGATTATAATAGGGTCATAATGATAACTTTTTGATATTATCAAAAAGTTTGAATCCAAGTGGGATAATGACATCCAAATACATGAGGGCGCTCTGCACTGAAACTGCTGATCACATCTAGCTAGCTACTGTGTTAGTGTGTGACACTGTGTGTAGCGCGCGAATTTGTAAAAAGTCCCAGTGTAAATAAAAATTAGGCTAGCCTAGGCCAAATATAATTGCTGTTTCTGGTCGAGGTCTTCATTCATTATTACGTATAATACCAGGTAAGTGTAACGAAATCTCTTATGAACCATTTGTTTAACGGATATGAGATAAAATTACCTATTCAGGTTCTACGTTAGGCTAGGCCTAGGCCTTGTGTGTTGACAGCAAAGCACAGAGATCGAGATCACACATAACAGAAGGCCGGCGCTGGACTCCTTTTCGGAGTGTTAGGTTAGGCCTAGGCCTGGAGCCTGATTTGTAGACATGTGTAAACTTTTTACCAAAGCTTATACTTCACGCTGCTGTCGGCGCTACGCCTTGTTGTCTAATGATTACATCTAGTTATAGCTGGCCTCTGCTAAAAGAACTAGGGGCCTAGGCCTAGTAGGCCGACTCTAAAAATAAATGTGATTTAGGCCTAGGGCCCCACCTTTTTATAACGTAACAAAATTATAATTAAAGCCTATACTGTATAAATTTTAAATTTTTACTATAAAAAAATGAATTTTATTTTTGTGTGTTACATGATCTGGAACCCAGATAGGCCTACCTACAGTATGCGACTGACTTGCAACGCTGAGGTGGTTAATCGCCAACTGTCATCTCAAGGAATGTCCAAGAAAGTTAGGCCAGTTAGAAGCTTTCTTTCCATTGGTCGATCCAAATCAACAGATAGCAAAACAGGTGCAGTTTTTCTCTTGCTGTGTACTGCCAAAGATAGGGTTGGCACAAAATATAAGGTAAAATTACAGTTAAATAATGTTTTGAAGGTTATGTTAATCACTTTTATTCCATATCAAAAAACAATATGACAGTACAAAAATATCCATATAAAATAAAAAGATTCTAAAATCTCGCAAGGAAAAAGTAAACAGCACCTTTTAAAAAAGACTGAAAGTGGTAGGGAACTTTGCATAAACAGATCCTTAGTTAAGTCAAAGAGATTTCAATTTACAGTATTCAAAAACATTGAGACAATCCTCTACACTTTTCCAAAGAGTATACTGCGTTCTTTAACATGCCATATTGCATATTTAAACATCTTATCCCACTAGCTGAAATAAAAGGAGAGCAGTGATCTGAATTGAACTGGGGATCAAGAGATCTTCACAGTTGAGCACACCTACAGTGGCTACCGCTAGTTTAGCTGACTGAGCTAAGTTTTTGATTTTTTTTTTTCAGTTACGAGAAAATGTTCAGAATGTATTTACTAAGTTTGTGCAAGAAGGAAAAGCAACCATCAGATTGAATACACCAGCTTTTGACATTCACCTTCAAAAGGTCAGTGAATAAAAAAGTTTTCTTATTTATGAATATCAAAATATTAAATATGTTATGATGTATTAATAAATTTAACAGAAATTTGGTACTAATTTTTGATAGTTATGTACTGTAACGTTGTTTATTACCAGTGTCGCTAAGATTTCAGTCCTCATGAATCTTGTGACAAGTTGTATATTTAATAAAAATGTTATTTATAACTTTATATTTATAGCACTTTATGGATTGCAGACCCCTCTAAGCACTTTACATTAAGCCTTTATTACTGTATTTTTACTTCTTGTGTTTTTTTATATTGACATTTTATTAATTTGATTGTATACAGGCGGATCCGACAGCGTTGAAGAATTTCCTTTCCGTTGTCAAGTTAGGGCATCAAAACAAAGAACTGGATAAATCAAATCTTTCCACATTAGCACCAGCCACAATTTCACAAGTAGAGCCATTAAAGGTACGACTCAACATCACCAACAGGCAGAACTACCCATTGGCAGCCGGTTTCCCGAAAACGCTGGAGACCTTACGTGTTTGTAACTGCATGCTAAAAAAAGTTGACCCTAGGATTCTGTCACTAAAAAAATTAAGAAGCCTTGATTTGAGCGATAACAGATTTCAGACTTTACCCCCTGAACTTGGTGAGATACTAACTCTTGCTGAGTTAAAAGTAACCGGTAATTATCTAAAAGAAGTTCCTAAGTGTGTTTGGACAGGAAATTTGCGATGCAGCCTTCGAATGCTTGATATTTCTAACAATGAACTTCAGTATATTTCGCCCGATTTGGCACGTGTGTCTTCATTGGTCCGTCTCAACATTGACTCTAATCAAGTAGAAAGGCTGCCAACAAACTTTGGTGAGCTGACCTCCCTTAAATTTTTCTCCGCTGCCAAAAACAAGTTGAAGAAACTGCCAGCAACTTTTGGCTATTTAAATATGGAACAGTTGGACCTTAGCGCAAATGAATTTGAGAAAATCGCAGACGACACAAAGCTGAACCAAGACTACGCAGTGATGCCACTCGTTGAACTAGCAGCAAGAATCGTAGCTAAATTCAGGTGAATTTTTTCAGGTATTCGTAGCTTTTGAGAATTATAATCTGCATATGGTGATGTTCTGGTCTTCAGCGCTCCGAGATAGGCAATGCTTTTTTGGGGTTTCTATTATTTCCATGCTTTAATATTTATATTTCTATTGCATAGGTTACCACATGATCCAAGTACACTTCCTGCTTACTTGTGTGACTACCTTACAAGAGCCAAGGTGTGTGTATGTTCTCGTGTTTGTTTCATACCTTACGCAACAGCTCTCCTTACCCTTGACCTCCGTCGGACAGCTCATACCATTGTTAGGACGGGGAATGCAGGCATAACAGCGCCATTAGAGACTTTCCTATGCTCGACGCTGTGTTATAGAAACCTACAGAAGAATGCAAAAGCTTTATGGAAATGCAAACGCTAAAAGACTGGTTCTAGTAATGTAACTAATGTTTGTTTAAAAGGTATGTTTAGAATGGACCGTTACAAAATGTCAATATGAACTGACCAATCAGAACATATTACTGTTAATTGGGCCAAGAATATGCACATGCCCCTCAAACACAGAAGTTTACAGTGTTGTTTTGTGGGGAAAATTCAATCTGTCCCTGGCAATAAAGAAGTCCTATTCTGCCACTTCAGACAAGACCTTATGGTGGCTTGTGAAGATAAAAATTAGGAAAACATGCGTTTGCATACATTTAAGCATGTTTTGGAGAATGGGCAGTAAGTAGGTTAAAGTAATATTTATGCTAATTTTGATATTTTTCATAAAATAAATTATATATTTAAATATTGAAAAGGATGCAATTTACAATAAACTCAAGTCAGAAAATTAATACAAAGTGTTATTTTCCCCTTTATATGCCTTGAATTTCAGCTTTATTTCAATATTTATTGTACCTGTCTTGTACAATACAACTGAATCAACAATTTAACCTACCTATACATTCATTGTTTGCTATAAAACTTTTCACCGTTTTTTTGAATAATGAAATTTATTATTACTGTACACTGTTTTTTCTTCTTTATATAATACAACTTCACAAACTAACTTCTACAACATTTTGTGGTACAAACATTAATCGTTTAATAAATCTGATTTTTTTTTTTATGATGCCTAAATAAAAATAATATTGAGCACTCTGTCACCCATCACAACAATAATATAATTAAAAATTCTGAGGTGCAATTAGTATTATTGACTGCAAAAGTTATGTTTATCTTTTTGATTAAGATATAGCAATTTCTAAATATCAGGCACTTATTGATTTCCATGCCCCAAAAACAAGATTAAAAAAGAAATGGGACAACAAAAATTCACACAATATACTTTACTTAGGTTTCAATTATGCGATATGCATTTGGCATTTATAAGATAGCCCACATATTCCATGCACTGTCTGTATTGTCAGCAGGCTATGTGGAAAGGTCTTAATAATTTGTTTCCTGATGAAAAACCTGCTCAGACAGGTAGAGAAGACCTACTTTTTTAACTGATGGATTATGCAGGTGTATGAATGGGCACTACACTGATGCTTTTACATACAAAGTAATTTCATGCTTTCACCGAGTAATACTTTAATAATAATAATATATCCAGCCTTTCTTAAGCAGTTCTAGAATGGTTGATTTTCTCTGGTCATGTTATCAATATTTTGCATTTAATTCCACAAAATACAAGAAGCAATAGATTGGGATTAAATAATCTCTGGGGTACTAAAGTATTATCAAGATTAAATTTCTTTAAATTACACTGTTGAAATCTCTATGAATATGATATATCTATATACAAGCTAGTTGTAAACTTAATTAAATCAATATACATGTACAGTATCATAAAGAATTGGGTTTTTTTTCCCAAGTCATCGATTGTCAAGAAAAAATCTTAACATAAAAAAAAAACACTTAACTATACACTGGATTTCATGCAAAATGATGTTCCTTTGGTATAAGCTAACCAAAGTTTGCCCCTTAACACATTTGACAATGGGCCTATACCTGAGAACTATCAAATACAAAAAAAATAGTGAGACTGGATGTCTAGCCAAGACCTCACAACACAGAGGAGGTATAGGGAGGTCTGGGCAGAATAGGCCTAGCCAGCAGCTGGAATATTAATGCAATCTGTTTTGTACTTTGTTCATTAAAATTTCAGAATTACATATAGTTATCTATTAAAGCATGCATAGTGTAGCATTTTTAACCTTCTAAAGTTGGTGGTGGGAGGAAGGCATGTTCTTTTTTCAGAAATTTCCAAGTACAGTACAGTAAATTTATTAAATTGAATATACTGTAGTTAAAAAACACTTTCATGAGCTGAAAACAAGGAATTTGAACAAACAAAACAAATTAATGTAATATACGTTTTTATAGCCATCATCACTCGGGAAACTATAGCCTCATTTCTATTTCAATAATGATAAAGATAATTTGATAAACATACACACAGATATTAAATTTGCCAAGATAATAATTAAATAAGGTTCATTATATGTATAATCTAACTGGGCATTCCAGATTTGTCCTAAATTGGTCAGGTTATATTCATTATATTAATATATCCTTGCTCCAATGTTTTTTTTAATAAGACTAAAGATTTGATATTCCTTGGTTTACTTATAACAATATGCACTAATTACTGTACAAGGAATATACAAACATCTAAATATTTCTTTATTATAATGTTTTGAAAATTAATAGAAGTCATTTTCACAAATTAAAATTCAGCTGAACAAAAAAAATGTTGTATACGAACAGGCCTAATTCAATCTTGAATTGTTGAATAATGTTATTTACTAAAGAAAAAAAACATTCTCATAGTACACAACTGCACAGTAGTATTGCAAAAAAAAAAAGGCATGAAAATTATTCAAAACTTAATATTCTGGAAGTCTTATCTCACACAAACACTTACCACACACACATACACACATCTAAATGTTACCCAATATTATATCTGCAGCATATACTGGGCAAGAGTATATCATATAAAACCTATATCTCTAGTAAATGACGTCAAAAATCCACTTCGTCGAATCCAAATGGAGGTTCTTCAATGCTCAAAAAGTCATCGTCAATCATGCTACTAGGAAATGAGTTCTCCACTTTGGAGATCGATTTGTATGCTGCCTGCAAATAGGGGTTTGGTGCCTCTTGCTCTATAGTTTCCTTTTCCGCCTTTAGGTCTTTGGTAACTGTTTCTTGTGCTTGTTCATCTGTTTTCTCCTTTGACAAATGTGATGTTGACTCCTGTGTTGATACTGGTGTTGGCAACGGTTCAGGTTTTTCGCCTTTATCACTTTCCAGCAGGTTTTTTGGTGGTTTTAACTTTTTTAGTTCTTCTCGTAGTTGTGCTGTATGTCTCTATAATAGGAACTCGGAAGAATTAAAACTTGAAATACATCAATAATTTCTTTATACAGTATATTGATTCAATTCCTTTATTCAATGTTTAAGTGAAAAACATCAGAAAATAACGAAAAACTTTATGGTTCCAATGCAAGCTTTCGTTTTTATATGCAGTACAATGATGGACTTCACTACAGTAGTTAGTGTAAGTTTTTGGTAAAAACTTTCGTGAGGGTTTATTTTACCTTCAATGTTGTCAGGTGATGAGCCATCGTCTTACCAACACGTTTATTACTACAATACCTTGTAAGTAACGACACCCACTCTTCGCATTGCGCCATAATTTCTGCTTTCTTCAAGTAGAAGTGATTCTGTATTACCTAGGTGAAGGGAAAAAATCCATTATAAATTTGGATAATTAAGAATGGGGTGGCCTCTCCTAGTGAAATTTGACATGAATTTTTGAGTGGCTTTCCTACTGAATAAAAAAAACAATATTGAAAATAAAAAAAATGTATAAAGATATCCATCATATATTTAACTTTTATTACTTCTTATATAACCAAATTGCATATAAATTACAATTTATCAGAAACATCAATAAAAAATGTACAAAAAAAAAAATAAATAAAACTAACATTAAATTAAAAAATAGCTTTCACTTATTTTCCTTAAGATATAGGTCCAAATAAACCAATCAGCATTGATGTTGGTAGTCTACATGTGATAAACAAATATTGCTTGATGCCTTTCAAATAAGAAAACCCTTTAGAAAAATAATGGGACAGTCATATCTCTGGGGTGCATAATCAATCCTTCAACCATACACACGTCCTCAATTTCTTTCATGAATCACTTTGGTGAACACTGAGTACTATTCTTTTTAATCTTCTCATTTTAGATTTGTATATTTATAACAAGAGCGACCACTCACTGGTCCGCGAGTAAAACTGAGGTTACCGCTATTCATTTGTATTTTTGGGCATACAGGCGGTCTTGCAAGAGACAATTCAAACTCAAAACATTTTGGTTCCTTAGAACACATCGTTAACCATCCATGCAATGGCACTAATGTACAGTCCTTGCTGAAACCCCTGTTTTTTGGGTTTTTTTTGTTGGTGTAAGTGCCACACTGGGGTCCAACTTAAAAAAAGGGCCATGGACGTTTGTTGGAAACCACCTCTAGTTTATGTGTACAAAATTTCCTACATGTCCGTTTATAACTGGCGAAGCTGGAAGCTTTTAAAGTTCTAGTAACAACAACAACAATTCAGAGTGACATTCAGTCTGCATAGACCTAAAAAAAAAACAATTCTCTGTGACACAAATATAGTAACCTATTCATATTACCTTGTAAATTTTCCCCTATTCCTGCTGAAACAAATAACCCTTTCTACCAACTTTCTGGACAACTTACATTTTTGAAAACAAGTGGTGGATTGCGGACCATTTCCAGCATGGCCCATCTTACAGTTGCTTGCATGATATTAGCGTCGTAGTCATGGGAACTCTGAGTGCCTGCTGGGGTTCCTCTTGATCTCTCATATCCAGGCTCATTAAAATATGGTTCTGAGACCAGAATGAGTGACTGGATTGAGACTAGCACCTATTGTAATTGAAAAGGAAATTACAAATTTAGTTCAGTGAAATTTAGTTTAAAATTACGCAAATTCATTGGATATTTATGCACTATAAAATGTGCAAATAAATAAAAACAATCACAACAACAAAGTAATAATTCTGCTTCCCTTTGAAAGCTTACACACCTGTAAGAAACTTGATGTGTTTGGATTCCATTTCTCTTCTGGGCGTCCATGCCATGTATTTAATATACTTAGACAAACCTGGGAAGAGAAAAATGAGGGTCATCAAACATTATTACATGATAAAAGTAAAATTCAACAAATCATAATGCACACTCCATAAGCAATGGGTTGTGCTATCAACACATCCCAATATATGCATCTTCTTCAATCTAACTCCCCCATGATTGTACCATGATAAGTCTGCTTCCCATCCATTTAGGCAAATGTTGATAAGAGGGGAGTATTTATATATTCAATTAACTATATAATACATCCAATGTATATTCAGGGTGTAAAACATAAGAATACGGATTAAAATATATTTAAAATTAGCAGAGAAGAGTTGACAGAAACAACAATTTTTGCAATAGTACCCCATTGCTAAATTATATTTTATATTTATATATATATATATTTATATATAAATTATATTTATAACAGTCCTTTCAGGGGGTGGTCCATCTAGCCAAAAATAAACGTTTGATACCCATAATACATATAAAGGCAAAATAAAATGCAAAAATTTAACATTTAAATTTAACATAGAAATAATTATTAAAAATTTAATAATTCTTTATTATTTCACATTCCTCTCCTCCCCCGTAATTTATAATCGGGTGTAATTAATATATTTACGTACTTTTCCGTCATTGTAAAGATTTGGATTAAACCGGATACTATGTTGACCTGTTGTCTCTAAATTAATTTGCATAGGTGAGGTTGGATAGTCAGATGGAAAGTAAACATCGAACTCAAAACATCCATTTGCATACGGCGTATCACATGGAGCTGTTATTAACACCTATAAATAAAAAATAATCAACATTTTCAGATACACATTATATATTAAAAATGAATAGCCCTTTATCCTAGGATCTGAAGAACATCCCATTATATTGATCAAACCACAAAAACATCCATAAACTAGGAATGGCCTATAGTTGAGAAGTGAAGCCACAACAACATAGGCACTGGTTTGAGCCCCTCCTCGTCCAGGGTTCAGTTGAAGAAGAGGGACTTAAAATGGACGTCCAGTGTACACATCTGGCTTGTGTGCACTTTGAGAAACCATATGCATCTTTAGAAACAGAAGGGGGTTATGCTGATGCTATGGTTCATTTCTGCTATTATAAACGCCTGATGACCTTGATTTCTAAATGTCAGTGACTGTATTTGGCAACACAAAAAGAGTTATAGTGCCCTTATCAAAATCGTCATCAGGTTTGGTCTTACCTTCATCAAGTCCAACCGCTCCTCATCACATCTGACGAACACACTCGAGCTTGCTGACAGTGGCAACGAGGTGGAGATTGTGACAGCCTCTTGAGCAAGCCGCCTGGCTCGCTTCGGATTCTTTACGTTACCAGATAGATTGATGCTTGACGAATAGTGATGTGGGATGTTGAACTTCGTTTTACCATTTTCGTCCTCACTTACCATTCGATATGTGTCTATTTTAAAAGAAAAGTCATGAATCCTTAGAAAATCATGAGTGCAGAATAATTTATTAATCAACGACACCATCGATGTCTATAGTCTTAAAAATATACCTCTTTTATATACAGAACATTATGTCAAGGTACTTCACATTTATATTACCCAGGACATTGGATAGAACACCTATGGGACATACTTGGCTCTTTGAGTATTCCATAATGTTGTACCTAATAATTAGTGCATTAACATTTGAATCTACACCAGGTACTTTCTCCTACATGGAGGAAGGGAATATATAAAGTTCCTCTGACATACCAAACTGGAGAGTTTTCATAACAGCGCAGTATCTCTCCTCTGGTGAAGATGCTATTGATAGAGGCATAGATACCATTGCACCAGCACTGTCTACATTATCTGAAAAGGAAACACAGCAAACTTTAAAGAAAAACCCTAAAAATTACCAAGTCCAAAGTGTAATATTTCCAAATAACATTTAGAGCCGTACTATAGTGTAACAACAGGATATATAGAATAGATATACTGTATTAACATGGGAAAGGTGGGTTGGTTAATGGGAAGCATGATGGGAGAGTAAGGGGTGGTACCTGAGAGAGAGAGAGGTAATATTCCAACCCTGAGATGAGTTCCCACAATTTTTTATAATGGTTTGAATTGTTTGAGTATATTTTATTGGCGAAGTAAATTTCTAGGGAAGAGGGGTGGGAAATCTGAAGATGCAAACCTTTTCTGGGGGTTTAGATACCCAATAAAAAATTAAACCATAATTTTAAAAAGTACTGTTGTTTATACCTGATACTTTGTACTTCTTTGTTGCTTTCCTTACAATCTCAACTGTGTTCTGGATGTCAGGTACCAAGAGTGTCAAGCCTTCTGTTTCTGGGTCGTCATTGACTGATGATGCAAGGTCCTTGATATTTTTTCGAGGAGTTTTACTATCTTTGTTCAATCTACAAAAAAGTAAGAAAGCTCTTCTAAAAACAATGTCACAGTAATTGATATATATATATATATATATATACTGTACCTATAAAACAAAATAAAAATTTATATACTGTGATTTAAGAGAGATTATACAGCAGGCTACAAAAGATCACTTACTGTAGCTTTGAGGTATAGGTGTCCACACAAGCTTTGAGGCTCTCTAGGAGGCTTGTGATGCATGTTGTGGTAGTAGGTTTTTCATCATCATGGTCTGGTAAGGGTAGCAGTAATTCGACCATATTTGGACAAGATGCAAGCGCCCTCAGTAGTTCTAATACTGCACAGTATAATGGTATATGTCTGGCCATGTCTAAAACTGAGGATTAAACCAAGTAAAATAATTAAAATAAAAAAAGATGTCTAAATGGTTATTCATTCATTATGAATAATTATGAAGAAAAAATGGTCAAAACATCTATCAAGTCCTATATAATCATGTGATAATAATACCACTTGATAATCTCATGTGATCATGTAATATTCCAGGTGATCATGTAATACTTCCAGGTGATCATATATAGTTCCAGGTGATCATGTATTAGTTCCTGGTGATCATGTATTAGTTCCAGGTGTTCATGGAATAATCCAATGTGATCATGTCATATTTCCATGTGATTATGAAATAATCACATGTAATTATGTTATAGTTACATAAAAATTCACATGAAGCTGCATGGAGTATAACAACAAATTACAGCATGGAAAACACAGGATATTAACATTTTCAAAATGCATTAATGAAGAACACAAGCTCATTAAACTGATTAGATGGGCCTGGCATTTAAGAAGTTGCCTGAATGCTAAATCTTACCAGAATCATTTCTTAAGTAAGACGAGATGGCAGGGAATAGACAAGAATGGCTTAAAAGCTTGACAAAGACTGGTGGAAAGACTGCTACTAACTGGTCTTCTGTCATACCCTCTGAGGCATCCTCTTTAGATTCTGCTTGACCACTGGGGTTAATGAATGCTGACAGAACCTTAATAAGAAAGCAAGAAGAACAGATATCAAGATTAATGTTGATAAGGAGAGAAACACATCACCAATTTCATCATCACTTTCAACATCACTAACAATTCTCTGCCACCATAACCATCAAAACCACACCACCACCACAGGGGCCCCAAATCTCCCACAAGCTGCGGGAGTCTTCCAGAAATTTGGACAGCCTCCAGCAAGAAAGCCAGATCTCAGAGAAAATAACTAAAAATTTCATATTTGCATGTTTTCACCACTTTATAATCAAATGCTTCACGAAAGTCAGTGTCAATAGGTATCACGATGCACAGCATAATGAAATCAGATGTGTTAAGAAAGCTCATTTAGCCAGATCTCCTGGAAGTGATACCTTCCAACCTGGGACTCCTGCAATCATCATCATCAGCACCATCATCACTGTCACCACCATTACTGTCACTGCCAAGACCATCTTTGTCAACACCAAACCATTACCACTACTACCATCATCACCACCACTATTGGCTATATTTGGTCTATTTATAGCAAGGTAATGCCTCCAATAGTTTCTTACCTGTAATAGACAGGTGACATGTTCCTCTTCTACCTTTTGTTTGTTAAGTGCTTGTTCTACATCCCATCCAGAGGTTGTTGAGCCTGTCCCAAATCCTGTACCTTTTGCCCAGTAGTTCTGGCTCTTCTCATTCTCAGAGGATGCTACATTACCGACACCATTCACATTACCAGATGCCTACAGATTAAACAAAATATTTTACCCTTAAATGTTATGTATGCAAGTCTAAGCCAAATGGATATCCAAGGAAGAGATTAGAAATATGTTCAATTGGGCAGTCATTAGTTTATAATTTTCTGTATATTATTTACAGTATATTTTAATACAACTAACATAAGAAACAGTTATCTTTAAACCAACATATATTCAATAAATTTATATTTCAAAATAAACAAATCCATAAGAAACCATTTCTAGAGGAGTGTGCCCAACCTCTAAAATGACTCACACCTCCACCCCAAGCCCCACTGAAAATGTTTGAAGCAAGTATTTGCACAAAAAAATTATGCGCAAATAGTTAATCATCATTAATCGAGGGCCTCCCACTGCACCTTAACGTTCCGCCAACTGCCCCCCACCCTTCCATTCCTAGACTCTTAAATAAACAGTGAGGAGAAAGAGGGCAGAACATACCTCAGACGATGTTGCTGGAACTGTCACCCGGGGTCCATAGTGACTTAACACAGACATGCAAGCTAACACTAGATGCAAGGCCCCAATGTCAAGGGTCATACGACGCAACAGGACTCCGTCATCCGTGGTCAGTGGGGATCCGTGAAGGAGGGTGATCAAGATGGAGAATGGTAGGGTCGGTAAACATGAAGCTTGAGGAGATGATAATATGTGTCCTTGTGAGGGAAAAAGATAAGTTACATAGATTTAATTTAGGTTATATTATTTATCTCTTAAATATTTCTAGCTAACAGTTCAAATGTAATATTTTCCCAACAAATTTGTTTAAAAAATTCTTGCATATGTAAATTGTAATTCAAAAACAGAAACATACAGTAGATTATAAAACAAAACATACATAGATGTCGGTACACACTTTAAATGTTATTGCTGATTCTGTACTTACCCCCTTCTCCGTCATCAGTAACCCCAAGAATTAGCCTTAATAGGAACTGAGCCTTCTTGTGTTCTTTGAGCAAGACCTCTGCATAACCAGGCAGTCTTAGAAACAGCCCAAAAGCTGCTAGGGAATGTGCTGGGATGGCTGTGTTATGGCCTAGGTGGGCTGTTGCAGATGATAATGGTATTGCATTGTACGAAGAGCTACCTCCTTGATTTGCCTCCTCCATGTACTGAAACTATAGAGGGCGGTACACTGATTTTAGCAAAATAGAATTCAGGTAGATAAATTGTAATATAAGTGATTAGTTTGGTCAAGAATATAGTACAGTACAATCTTTTCCTGAATTTTCATCATGATTAATAAGGAAGTTTTTAATTGAGTTACTGTTGAAAGATAATTACCCAGTTTTCTTCAATTCCAGATTCCATTCCGCCAATGTCCGCCGGTAGCCATTCGCCCTTGATATTGTCATCAGCGTTCTTCTCAATAACGGAACTAGTAGTAGCAACCTCGGGATGCGGTGTTTCCGAGTAGAGCATGGGAAGATGTTCTGCAATGAGTGCTAAGCCGCCCATACTGGCAAACACGTGCAGAAATGATGGGATTGCTGGCGTGTCCAACAGGATGGCTTCAGGAATGACATCACTTTCTTGCGACTTATCCGATAAAGAATCTAAGAAAAAATTAAATATGATGGAATTTAGAGGGCAGACAGTAATTTTCTACTTTTTTTCCTTATGTTTGGGAGTGGGCGTGGCCTTGAGTGGGTGTGGTTCACTCATCTGCTAGACAGCTTATTTCATTTTTATGGCTAAGCCCCTGTTGCATAGTAGACCCAACGCAATTGGGAAGATTCCCCAATTCGATTGACCAATCAGCATCACCGAAAGCTCTCGGTGATAGCGTGTAGCGATTGTATGGAAACCAAGTTTTCCCTTAAAATCACTACACTATCGCTACAGTTCTTTTAGTACAATCATTGCACTAGCGTAGCAGTCCCTCACTCAATCGGGAAGTTGTCTGCGATAGCGTGTAGCGATTACATGGAAACTAAGCTTAAGACGACGTGAAAAATATTACATTAAAAAAGGTAGAAGACAAATTTTAAAATTCAAACTTACCATCAATGCTACCCATCTTAGATGAGCTCCCTTGAAGGGCTGATATTGATTTAGCTGTCAGCTTCATTGTAAAATGTAGGTGAGATGCTGCTGAATTTAAACCCCTCTGCTTCAACAAGACCATCAGCTGGCCTAGCGTGAGTTTGTGTGGCAGGGCCTGGTTGGGAAACATCGAATGATGCAAGGATAACGTGGGGATGCTCATGGATTCTCTACTTAATCCCAAACGTCCTCTTCTGGTTGGGGGCCTTATATAAGCTGAACTACTGTCCTTTCCATTGGTTTCGGATTTGGAATCTTGAAATCAAATTTGATTGATAAATACATGAAAATTGCTATTAACATAGAATTTTTGTTAATTTTAAAGGGCTCTAAATGACAATCGTGCACAATGTGCAGCCAGATTTTACGTGACAGATATCTGCAATAGCACCCATAATGCATATCATCATGCCCATATATGGGTGTGAAATGCCATCATTACGTCCACATATAGGCAAATCATATATTTGTCACAGATTGGCACAGCTTAACATGCTACTGATGGCTATGGTGAAAAAAAAAAAAAACATGATATAGACTAGGTTATGTTTAAGCTTACCTGTACCAGGTGTTTTAGTTGTAACCTTTGACCCTGAATCAGCCTTCCCTGCTACTTTCTTTAGCTTGCTCTTCGTGATATCTTCCAGTAAGGATGGTAGAGACAGCTTGTCTGTTAATGGTTTTTGCTTTTCAATTTCCTTTTCAAGGAATTTTGCTGTCAGTGAAGGAGTATCTACACCAACATAAGAAATATATATTCGAAAGATAATGATTATAAAAATAACAATGTAGCAATATAATAAGGTAAACGGTTAGAGTAAAGGTAATCCAAACTGTACAGGTATGGATTGCCCATCCCTCTTTCTTAAACATTGGGGCCAGAATGTGCAATGCTTTTAAAGGGATCACTACTACTCCTCACAGTGAGTCTGTTTCCTTTGCCAGCATATGCCAGTACCCATTTATACTCCTGGGTAGAGAGAGACAAACCCAGATGGAGTGTCTTGCCCAACCGCTGTTCCAAATTTCCACTATAATAATAATATAATGTTAACTTTAATAATAAAATAATAACATTAATTAATAATAGAAATATATACACTTTAAGTAAGTTATCTACGAGCCTAGCATTCCCCATTTAGGACTGATTCCTTTATTAGTGCTAACTGCATCTCATCCATCCCTCCATGATTTATGGGCAGCCCACTTTTCTGAAAGTGGACTGCTGAAATTTACATATTTTAGTCAGTTTTCAACTTACCAGACACTTGAGATAAAATTTTGCTGATTGAGTCGATAAGTTCAACTTCAATAGTTCTAAATTTATGTCCAGTTCCGAAGCGTGGATGCTGTAGCCCAGTTGGTGCGGCAGTGCGTGGCTTGTACAGATGGCAAGCAGACTTCAGGTGAAGCAGAATCTTCTCATCCTCCAACATTAACTGCAGGATGAGTCTTCTGGTGAAACCAGTAATTAGACTACTGCCACTTGGACCATTCTTATAGCAGATGACATCACAAATAACCTCTGCTAACTTCCTCTGGTTCTCTGAGTGGCAAGCAATAGTCTTGCTGAAGAAAGAAATGGCAGCATTCTCAATTGATGATCGTTGCTGTGAGGTAAGAACTGTGGATTTTTTCCGGCTGGATGATACCGTCTGGGCTTGACACTCGTTTGCAGAGTTGTTACACAAGAGGTTTAACAGTGCCTTCCAGAAGACATTCCCTTCAGCTCCTCCCAACCATTCCTTCATAGCTGGTTCATGCGATACTTCTCCAAAGAAATTCAAAACGGGGGCTACAAGATCAGCAGTTAATGTCACATAATCAGACGAGACAGAGTCGGTCCGATGTTTTTGTCTGTTTCCACGTGGAGACTTCAACGAGTGGAGTGATGTGCTCTGGAGAGACTCTGATTGGCTTCGAAAGAACTCATGCTCACAAAATTCTACAAGAGCCTGTGTAAGAATTGCTAGAAACCCAGAAGTTATAAGTTGCTGAGAAGCGGACTCGGATCTGCATGCTATAGCGAGAGTCGTCAGGTGATCCTCGTTCAGTATCACAAGACCTAGATCCTCAATTGTGATTGGTTGGTGTGTTGGTAACTGCTGGTCATGTGATCCCGCCACTTCCCCTTTCTCTGCACCTTTGCTGTCATCTGAGATTTTAAGATATTTTTAGCATAATTATAAGTAGGTAAATACATATATAAGTACATATAAGTACATTAGTACATACTTAAGCAAAGTACATACATAAGTACATACATACTTCAACATTTACTCTTTGTGATGAGCTAAAAATAAAATTCCATATTTCGATTGCATAATTTGTATATCATAATATTTATATTTTACTATTAGCTAAAACAGCTTTTAATTAGGAATTACAGAAACAAATGTTTCCTTGCCAATAAACAATACTATTTTAATATCCAATATATAGAGGTACAGACCCTTATAGCTGGTAATCAATTTGAGAAAACATATACACTAGTAAAAGGTCTGTAAATTGTTGAACTTATTTATAATGTGTACTGAATTATATTAATAGCTTATTTGATCCATTAACATGAGCCATTTACTGTTATAAGTAAATTCTGGGGTTGTCCAAAATATTTTTTAACAGATGGAACTGTATTATATTTATTTATTACTGTTTATTATTTATTTTATTTATTATTCCATCCAACAGAAAGTTCAAAATTCGCCACTTATTGATGGGAACACAAATGACAGACGGATACATAAACATTGTAAACGTATAATTTTAAGTGAATACATACACACATAAATAAAGAATACACCGTTCCAGGGTGTCAAACACACTTAACAAACGACCAATCAGAACAGAGCCAGAAATATGCATGCACCTTATAAACTCACGTGTTGTCAAACAAGTGTACGAGTTTGCATATGTTTTTACATTGTCGTTTTGTTGGACTTTTAGCAAAAATATCCAATCGGCGGGATTTAGCGAAAAGATCCATTGCAATGGGAGAACTCTTCACATACCTGTTAGATGGGATACCATGTCTAAGCTGGTGTCATGCACAACACCCATCCACTCCATCATGGATGTGAAGAAGGAAGGCTGTACATAACACATAGCGCACAAAACAAAATCTGCTGCCTTCTTCAAAGTGCTACTGGAGGGTAAAACCATGGACCATTCATAAATTGAGCTAAATAGAAAAGAAAAACACAAACCAGATTGTTAAATTTCTTTTAAATTTTATTGAAAGGTTCTGAATTTGTATCAATGTAATGTTGGTAAACTATAAAATACTTAACAGGATGAACCAATATAATGCTCTGTCTCCTTTTGCCATAATGGAATGTTCCACTTCATGTTATAAAAGCATTCAAATTAAACCTCATTTTACTTTTACTTACACAACAAGTATTATATCAATAGATGGAATCTTCCATTTTTTATATAGGTAATTAGCAGAAGGAGACATGTCATATGACATTCACAAAATACACTTAGATCACAATTAATTGATATTTGTGGATTAAGTTAATAAAACCATAAATTCATTGTACAAATACATTGTAAAACCACAGACTCAACGGCTGGTGGTTCGGAGTAGATACACCTAGACAATAACATACAAATGACGTATGTATGTTTGTTGTGTTATGTTGCTGGTTAGTACAATTGAGCGGCACAAGTGAGGGTACCCTTTGAACATACCAACCCATGCAAAAAGCGGACAAGCCAACTCGTACTTGACACAGTCAATAAAACATTCTACTACAGTTCTGTCGACGAGTATACTCGCCACCCCCCCTAATATTTTTTCGCAAGTTTATAAGACACATCATTTTAATGATATATGACTACATAAAATTTCAAAAAAGTATATTTGTACATGTAAACTTATTTTGGCAAATGGGAAGGAACCTTAAAAAAATGTCTGGCAGTCAACATGTTAAACTTATGGAAAAATTATGGAAAAAATAACAAACCAGAAGGAGACATGTCATATGACATTCACAAAATACACTTAGATCACAATTAATTGATATTTTTGGATTAAGTTAATAAAACCATAAATTCATTGTACAAATACATTGTAAAACCACAGACTAAACGGCTGGTGGTTCGGAGTAGATACACCTAGACAATAACACACAAATGACGTATGTATGTTTGTTGTGTTATGTTGCTGGTTAGTACAATTGAGCGGCACAAGTGAGGGTACCCTTTGAACATACCAACCCATGCAAAAAGCGGACAAGCCAACTCGTACTTGACACAGTCAATAAAACATTCTACTACAGTTCTGTCGACGAGTATACTCGCCACCCCCCCTAATATTTTTTCGCAAGTTTATAAGACACATCATTTTAATGATATATGACTACATAAAATTTCAAAAAAGTATATTTGTACATGTAAACTTATTTTGGCAAATGGGAAGGAACCTTAAAAAAATGTCTGGCAGTCAACATGTTAAACTTATGGAAAAATTATGGAAAAAATAACAAACCTGAATAACTCTTGTGTTAACAGAGATTGAAGGTCATAGTGAACTGGCAGTTCAAAACTGCTCCAGATGATGGTTGCAACGCAGTGGATGTGGGCTGGCGAGGGCACCAGAAGACCAACTTCCAGTGGGGAGAGTGTATGAGGGGCACGTTGGTACGTGCTATGCTTGTGAAGGGCAACTCGTGCTGTGTCACCGAGCCACTCCAGCAACGCTTGTACTCTGTGGGAAGCGATAGATAAAGTAAAGCTTTAATGCATGTTTGAGTGATTGAATGATTGATTAATTGATTGATTAATTGACTAATTGATTGACAGCTGTGGAGCTGTCTTGGTGGTTCAGGTGCTCTTAAGTGCAATCCTGGAGAAATGTGAGAATTTTCTACACAACCGAATACAAGTCTATTCCCAAAGTCTTATAGAGATATGATTATAGAGCAGTGAGGCTTCTACATGATCAGTTCACTACTCCCAGGCCTCATTAAGAGACTTGGGTTATTGGCTATATATAGCTCAGGGGCTTCTAAACGATCAGTTTTCCACTCCCCAAAAGGAGTCAAGAGTTCTTAGAGCCAACCTCTCCTTGGTTCCTTGGTCTTGTGTCATCCCAAGTTGGTAAATGATCTCAACAGTTGAATCAGATGATCCTCCATGTCCTCTTCCTAACAACAATGGTGTCTGTCCATCTGAAAAATATCACATATATTAATAATTTGTATATTAATACTGTACAATATTTTGAGAGGAGGTGTGGTCTAATGGTTACAATGTTTGCCCTCCCATTCCATGATTCTTGGTTTAAATATTGGTTTAATGTTTGACCAAATGTTTGGCCCACTAGATTTCTTTTGGTTTCGACCACAATTTTTGTTCATTGCATTACATAATCCAAACTCACCATCATCACTCAAGTAGAGATTTCGGAGCAGTATATCAAACAGCGAGAGGCCTAACTCAGTAGAGTGGAGGCCAATCCTGAGCAGGACCACCTCAATGTTAGATGCATGGACAAGCGAGTGCCGGGACAAGAGTAGAGCCATGCAGGTGGTAAGTAGGTGTGGGGTGGACGTGGACGCCGCACTGGACATCATTGATTCCAATGAAGATGATTGGGTTAGACAATGATGAAGTAACCTCAGCCAGCCAATACTGAAAAAAACCAAAAATAAACATTTATATAACATATAACTAAGCAATAGGATGGAAAATAAATATATAAATTTGTATAATACATCAGTGTTCTCCAGGTGCAAGATTTACCCAAACACAATAGTCTTACCGAACTTTTAGAAATTTATAGTGGATTTTTTTTTCTATAATTTAACTTTCTCAATAGTCAATGCGTATTTTAGTCATTGAATTAATAAATAGTTATGTTGACTCTTAAATGCTAATATGCTAGAAACAATCATGAACCTAATTCCAATTACATCCCCTCCCCAAACCCTCCATCTTAGTGCTACTTCTAATCGGAAATGATAATCATTTACATTGGTATGATAAAACAAACTAGTAACTAGTTCAACAGTATAAAATAAATATATATATATAAATAAATAAAATAACATACATGGTAAAAAACAAGAACTAAAAAATAAACAATAGCAAAAAAACTAATTATAAAGGTAAGTAAAGGTAAATACAAAAAAAAAGCTGTACATACCTGGATTTTGATGCTGCATCTTCCGTTGGTAGGAACGGGTTCTGAACTGAAGACATATTAGAGAAAGCACTTAAGCCCAGTAGCATGATCTGAGAGAGACCAATTGTGCTGGAATCCCGCGGCCGGTGCAGTTTCAGACACACTGATCGTGTAATCTCCGGCTTTTGTAGTTGAAGCTTTATGTACGTCACACCACCAGTAGATATGGGAGAACTGATGGGCACTGAAGTGTAACCATCTCGACTCAGCTCAATGGCTACAGCTGATGGACATGCTAATCCAAGTAGAAAAAAAAATAATCAAAAACAGTATTAAAGTATTATGGTTATAAATTTTACAACAGCAGCAAAAACAGAAGAAACAACAATAACAAGGGAAAATAACTACCAGCTTCACTTCATAGGGGAGACTAACACAAACAAAATAGTAACAATACTATAAACAATGTTGGGTAATTGATTTAATAATGCAAAAAAATATCTTACTTGCTAACGATGCAAGGTGAGGTTGGATGTGAATTTCCTTGATGAGTACTGCCCCGGGTAATGTGATGGTGAGGTCGCACCAGGACTCATCAGGGTAGAAGTGATACGACCAGGCCGGTGATCGAGCTCTACGGTGGGGGGCCTGGGGTTGTATCAACACCTCGGCCGGTTGAGCTGTTGGACTAGTGGAGGATATTGTTCCTAAAGAAGAAAATGTACAAAGATAAGATATTATAAGATGATCAAAACAATTCTATTTTATTGGTTTACCAACTTTTTATCACAAAATCCTTAAATGACTTTTCAGCCAATTTAAGGGTCTGTTTTCTATACAAAGAAAAATGGTAAATTATATAAGGATAAGTATTGTTTTCTTCGGTGTGAAGCCCACCAAGGGTAACCCATTAGCGTCCGAAGACTTATTTCATGTAGGTCCTGTTGATGGTGATTTGGGTATTAAACTGGGGAGACAATTACCATTCTCTTTGCAGAAGTTTAACCTGTGTTTTTAAACCTGCACATGGTCAATAAGGCACACAAGACCCATGGCTCAAACATCTCTTTCTAATATACACGATGCACAACTTATAATAGTTGAATTCTAGCCCTCCAGCTGAAACGCAAGTAGAGCAGAGGATAGAACTGAACCAGGGAGCAAGTTAGTGCTAGGATCCTAACGGTTTAGTGCACGTAGGGTAGCTACAACCAGGTTAACTGACTGAGCTAAGCTGATCTATTAATTGGCAAAGAATACAAGATAAACAATTCCCATATTATTTATATTTTATTAGCCTAACATAAAAAATAATAATAGTAATAATAGTGGATACTTATAAGGCGCCGGTATCTGCATGGTGCGCTCATGGTGCCAGAGCCAAGCAAGACAGACAAAATAGGAGAGCGGAAAAATTAAGGCAGATAATAGTGCAAGAAAGAGGAGAATTATGCTTACTTAATTAAAACATGAGCCAAATACATGACTGAGACTTTCACAACTTACCATGAGGAGCAAAATTATACAAGCCATCAATGGTTTCAGTTTCTGTAGAGAAGGCTCTTGATTTTGGAATGGAAGTTGAAGTTGAAACAGCGCCCCCATTAGTTTTGCTCGTGACACCGAGACGCTGCATAATACTGGATATAGCACTTGGCGTTGTGTCAATTACTGTTTGATTACTGCATACTAGATTTCTACAGATTAATTGTATTCCACCTGAAAAATATTCCAATTATTCATCAATTAATTAAAAATTAATATTGTCATTAAATATTAATATTTATTAATATTATATCAATTAACTTACCCATGTTATGAAAGGCTTCCAAAGCTTTGTCTGTACTAAGAGCTCTGAGAATAAACCACAAAAGCGGTTCTGAAAGGGGTGCAGCTGTGGCCGGGAGACGACCTCTTTCTGCTCCAGCACTGATGTATGACAAGATATTCTTCAAGATCAAGTCTACCACCGTGGCCTTTGTATTCAGTGTGCAGAGAACCTGGAAGATGTTATCACCAACAGAAACGGATTCACCAGCTGATAACGATTCTGTGGTGATCTGGCTAAAGCCACTACTCCCAATGATCATTGCCATTGTGTTGCTGTTGCAGTGGCTTAGCGCAGACAGCAGCAGGGTTACTGTTCTTGATTGCGAGAGAATTATGTCAGCGATATATTTGGTGCATTCAGTAGTAGCCGGTACAGAACTTGAGGTTGATGCAGAGGATTTCTCTTCATCGCTAATTGCACTGGTGTTCAATGGCAGCTCTGAGCCTTCTCCTGTTCGCTGTTTTTCTTCATCACTGATGCAAAAAAAAGAAGTACCAGAAGCACCTTGTGGCTGATCCTGTTGCTGTTGGGCGGCATTGATCTTACTGGAATCTGTCATTGGTTCTAAATTAGAGTTCTCCGATTCTGGAGTGTTTGATTTATGATTGTCAGGAATATTAGAATCACTAAGAGGAACTTCAACTGTTCCAATGGGGACTCCTACCAAACTATTAACAAGTCTTAGTAAGTAGCACATTAAATCATCACGACCAACTCCACCTTCTGTCGATTTGGATTCTACAGCTCTCAACATGCTGGCAAAGAGGCCAGTGAAGCAGGCTCGAGCACTCAGAGTACTGGTTGAGGCACAGTGACTGGTGACCTGTTGTGCAGCAGACAGGTGGTTATGCACCAGTAGAATGATGGCATCTATCAAGTTGACGGTTTTAGAAACATCAACAGAGTGGAATTGTTGTTCTAGGATGCATTCTAGCAAAAATATTTGAGCATCTAGAGGGCCTGTTCCAACCTGAAACGCACCCCTGCAGAAAAAGAGAAAAAAAAAACAAAAACCCATTAAGTTGCATGATTTAACAATTACAAGTATCTCTTCAAAGTCATTAATAAAAATGAATAAAATAAGGACATAAACATCTATTTGTACCTCCCCCGTGAAGAGATATCTAGAAATAAATTATGACAACAAACCTGGGTTCTACAACCAATATTTGTAGAAGATCCAATAGGAGAGTTTTGAAGGTGTTGGTATGTGGTTCTGGAGAGGTTGTCACTCTCATCTCAAGTCTGACTAAGAAGTCTTTTACAGCCTGAACTACTGAAGGGCCAGCCTGGTAATAAACACAAATAATAATAATAATAAACATTAACACAATAAAGGGTTGTATGGAAGGATAAAACAGCAAGGTTTTATCAATAAAATGACACAGATGTTCCAACAGCTTAAAACAATAATAAAAATAAATGTTCATCCAGTTTTGTAATGGATTAAAACAATAAATAATGACTGATGTACATTGACCTTTATGCAAAATATTTTTAAAATAAATATCAAAATAATTCAACAATTAAGATAACAATTATTAGACATTTCTATATGTATGAAAAACAAACATGTCTTACTTGGCCTTGAATGGTGTTTTCTCCTAACTGTGTGATGTTTCCCGAGAAGAATTGAACAAGGGTGCACAACAGGTTTGGATCTTCAACCATCGCATTGGCCATCCAAACTGCTTCCACGACCTCTTCAGTATCCTGAGATCTAGAATTAGCAAGACAACAGAGCGATTGGAATGTTAAGCACCAAGTCTGCAGAGGTGTGTTTGGTTGCCTTGCCAGACATGCCAATATGTGTGACATTGACTCTTGTGAGAGAGTGATTGTTGGCACCAGACTAGCATTGAATTTCTTAGATTCTTGCTTAAGTTCTAAAGCTGTTGCAGCATTGATGTTTAGTGTAAGCCACAGCTGAAGCAATGCCTCCATGTTGATACGCTGACTCTGTAGATCTCCGAAAAGTTGATTGAAACAAACAGTTAACATCTGAGTTGAAGAGATCGTTGGCAGTGGGGACTCAATGCTACTGCTGTCCAAAGAGTCACTTAAATCTACAGAGCATTGTCCAGGTTGCGAAGGCATGCAGTTTGTCTGTGCTTGACTAACAGCACTTACATCAGTCAAAGAAGATATCTTCAAGAACCATTCTGCCTGCATCTGAAGGCCTAGCTCTAACCTAGCATCCATTGCAAGCGACACATTCTGTAAGGCTCCCGATCCAGGTCCTTTTCCATTTCCATTTCCATTCATAGACTGATATAATATCCGACCAGAACTTGAGGTCGCAATAACCTTCGAAGGCAAGTATTTACCGCTGAGCTTAGGGCTTTTCATGGAATACCCATCTTCCCATAAACTGTAGTACTTGGTTGAGCCAAAGCAGTAGTCTTCTGCCTCATCTGGTAATGGGTAACCTATATCTAATGGATCTGATATAAAACTTGGCTGTTGTGTAGAATGTACCAATAAACTTTCTTCAGGTGTAGAGGACAGAGTTGGAAAATGCGATGCTACTGTAAAAAGGAACAACAGTTGATTGACTGGTTAATACATAATGATATTGAATAGACATGTGTAACATGTGATGAGTTGGCCCTGCATTTATCATTTTCTAGACATAAAGTTGTATGCAGCAACACAGCCAACACAAGGTGGAGAGATTAGGATGTTGACAATTTAAACAGGTATGTGGAATATAAAACTCGCAGAATCATAGCTCAAAAAGATTATGAATATATTACCATATAATTTACTGTATTCAATTAATAATAAAAATTTATAAAAAAAATGACATAATTAATCCAACTATAATATATGTTCAGAATAAATGTCTCCTACCTGCATCTCCAATGACATCAAACAAATTCCCTGATGTTCCATTTTCATCAGCTCCTCCAGTAGCTCCTGCTACTTCTATCTCCGGAGCAGCATCACTGGTAAGATCTGAATCGACTTCCAGCCTTTCTTCTCCATAGGCTCCTTGACTTGTTGATTCTATAACTGGGTGCATGAGTTCACCTGAGATCAAGAGAAGGGTGTTGTTATATTGTTGTCTTAAGCCGGGCTCTGCTCCAAGTAAGTGCTAGAAGACACGATGCTGTCTGCTGATAGTCAGTGGGAGCCTGAACAATCCGTCTCCAAGCCCCCATCCACTACATTTAGTTCCCAGCTTTATTCACATCAATGTTGTTTGAGTTAGCCCTACTTACATTATATTACAATTGCAGACTAGAAATTTCAAATTGCAAGTGAATTGCTGCAAAGTACAACTGCATAATGTTCTTCGAACAAAATTATTTGTGCGAGTCAAGTGAAAATAATGAATAATAAAAATATAACAAATAATATGAGACACGACCCATTGTCCATATTAGAACACTTCTCATTGGGTAACAAAGTCGTAATTTTTCATTTTTGTCAAAAAGTGTCTATAGTGGTGAATTATGGTTTAGGTTTTTTTTAATAAAGTTTCAAAAATTTCTAAGTATGTGGAAAATGTAGTTGATTACCAAAGGTTACAATTTTTATTTTGAAGGCTGCATGGTCTAGGAAGTGTACATTTTTTTATGGGGCAAGTTTCCAAGGGCGGGTTTTCTAGGGGCGAGTTGACTGCCAAAGAGTTTTGCCAAAGTGCGAGCCAGCGTGTTATTTGATCACCAGTGCGAGACATCGCAAGTGTGAGCCAGCGAGCCATGACGTCACGACAATAGATACGATTTGAGATTTGTGGAGTACAATTCAAAAAACAACTATAGGTTTAATAATGAATTATTGTGATGTTAAATAGACAATGTTAGCTATCAAGGAGCGACGTTGTTTTTCATTGGGACCTTCGTCCCTTCAAGGCTAGGCCTATACCATCCTAGCTAGTCTAGGCCTAGAGTAGGATAAGGCTAGCGCGACATGTGGACTTTGGTACGTGTTGGTTAGTCTACAAACGTCGTCTAAAGTAATTGATTTTACCCGGCAGAACGAAACTCCGCTTTTCAGTCGTCTTAGGCCCTTGCTTTTTGACAAACAATGACCTTTCAGAGGTCAAATTGCTGTCAAGAATATGAATTGGGTGCTTCGCAGCAACTATTAGGCTAGCATTTTTCCAAAAAACAAAAACAAAAATCAGCACTGCAAATAGCATGTGTAGATTTTGAAAGTGTACAAGAGAAACAAAACATTAATAAATGTATTTTTAGAAAATATGGTTTGTATATATCCAATATCTTGGCCACTTACCTTCTAAGACATCCTGCAGAAGACAAATGATGGCATGGGATGCCCAAGGTCCACCCCAAGAGGAAGACCCACAGTTGAACTTTGACCCTACACACAACATTAAAAGTTGCTGAAGCTGCTGTTGTGTCATGACCTCGGCAAGTGTGATTGCTGGTCTGGTCGAGTTGCAGATTCGTGCAAGAACCTAAAGCATCATTGAAAGATAAACACACACAAATTTTATCATTGGTGACACCACGCATTGGTGCCATACATTTTTTCAGTGTAACATTTACATTTTGTGACTTTTTATATTATATAATTTCAAATATGGAAAATTTTGGTAAGTTAGAACTATTATCTCTTGAACTAAAAATCAATTATCTCATCAAAAAGCATCATAAGATTTCTTTTCAAAAGCTTCTCTTGAATCAAAGGCACAATATCAAATTAGTGACTAGTTGGGGATAGGGAAATTCAATGCAATTGAAAGTGATGATGTCACCACTGACTTATAAGCAAATATTGTCAGGTTTTCAATACACTATAGGAAATATAAGCCTTAGGAGCCATTATTTCCTTGGAATAGAATTCCCCATGGAACTTTCCAAGAAACCTCCCATAAAATGGAAATTTCGATGAAACATCCTCCTTCCTAAAAATTATGAACTGATCTTTCAATGGAATTAAATTTGTCATGATTCTTTCTAGAACCTCCCATGAACGGAACATCCCTTCTGCATTTAGATTTGCTGTATATTATGTTCTTTAATTTAATTTTGTTTCATTTGTATATCTTGTTTTATATTAATTTTTAGTGATTTTTTTTTTTTTATTGTATTGTAAATTTTGTTTCATTATTGATCTGTGATCCACTTTTGAAACCAGTACTAAGTTAATAAAAGTGTTATCACATAAAAGACAGAAATAAATTTCCTCCTCTCCTGAAATACAAACTGACCTTGCATGCGACTAGGAATAGATCCACATGGCATGTGAAATCCATGGCTAGTAGTAGCTGAGTGAGTCCCTGAACAACAGGTATGCACTGTTCTCTCGGTAGCCGGATCTGAGCATGGACAAATTCTGTTGGCTGCTCGGTGGTCTCATCATCCCCCTTACTGTCTTTCTTCTGGTGCAGCTCCTGGTAGGCTAGGCGTCGAATTCTTAGCAAATCTTTGGAGTGCTATATAACAATAATATTCATGTATTATTTCCTCAAAATACAGGATGAAAGTAAATAAGTAACAAGGTTCTTTTACAATACATGACAGCCCCAAACATCGAAGAAAAATAACAAACAATGCAATACAATCACACACAATGTAAAACACCATCAGTTAAACAATAATAATATGTTAGACTTATATAGCACTTATAATGAAACAAGGCCTCTAAGCACTCCATATTATTACCCTCGGTCATTGGATCAAGCGCATATGGAACACATATATATATTATGGAATATTCCATAATGTTGCAGCTGTAATCAGCGAATTTTGTGTTTGAGCCTACCAGGTACCCACTTGTACTCCTGAGAGAAACAACAGTAGGTGAAGTGCCTTGCCTAAAGACACAAGCGAAATGCACAGCAAGGGATTGAACCTCCGACTTTAAGGTTGAGAAGCAGAGCCATAACAGCTGCACCAAACCGCTCCTAAAGTCCTTTGCTTTAAATGTAGTACCAAGTAGGAATGATGTAACTTAATGTTAATTCACTGAAGTTGTTTCATACATATTACATTTTGATTATTAGTACATGTATGAAGTTGTTTCATATATGTACTAATAACCAAAATGTAATAGTTAAACTAAAAAAAGTAATTTATTTTATTGAAGTGTAGAAAGACGCAAATAATTAATACATGGCAACATAAATAAAATGTTCAACTAATAATGCAAGTAATATCAATATTAATAACAATAGTAGAAATTCTACAAATATTAAAAAAGCATTTACCTTAGATTTATGTTGTTTGTATTCCTTAAACACTTTCTGCAGAACAAGTGGATCTTTGTCCTTGCCTTCTTCTACCAACATAGTTTGTATAGCTTTATGCTTGGTCTAGTTAATAAAACACAAAAAACAGTTATGTAATAATTATTCACAAATTTAATTGTTGCATAAGAAACAAACAGATCTCCCTCAAATGAAAGACCCCTGCAATTAAGGACCACCTCCAATTAAAGGTCCCAAAGTAACAATTTCTTTTATCTTTATTATTCTAATATGAGACCAAAGCTGCTAAACACCACGAAAAACCCAGATCCTGAAAGTGGTTTTTAATTGGTGGGAGACCTGTATGTGATACTGTCGCAGTAACTTAGTGTAAAATGTATGTTTTGCAATTTTTATAGTTAACATTGCCAAATTGTTGGTGATGAATCAGGTAGCTACATTTTTTGGATATTAGGTTATATTACAGACTTAATATATGAAACTGAGAAAAGATATGGCAAAATGCATTCATAAGAGTCAAGCTTTTGCCCCACCTGATGCCTTAGTGTACTGAATACTCATTATGTTCCTAAATACTTGCGAAAAAATTTAAAAATCATTTGGGTGGGTATGAAACTCCTGATCTCAATATACCTAGCCTGAAGCCATAACAACTAGACTACTCAGCTTGCGCTTAGTCGTTAGTGTTGATAACATGTCAGATAGGGCAAAAACTTCACTCCTATGATATTTTGATTTCTGATAGCAAATACATCTAAATAAAATTCATACAGTTGAATAGTTGGGGGGGGGGGGTTAAAAAACACAATACATTACCTCTAACTGTTTGATCTGTTCCTCATGCATTTTCATCTGCTTGGCTAGCCTCTGTCGCTGAGCCTGATTTACAGAGCCCCGCTGAGCTTTTGGTACTTCAGTGGTTGTCAAATCTGAGTTAATAAAGTCCCATCGACTACCAGCTAGTGAAAAAAAAAAAAAATTGGATGATAGAAAAATTACAAGTGCATATCAAAAAACAACACTGAATTGCTTATTATTTTATTATTATGCATAGTGGCGGGTCCAGGGTGGTTCAGGTGGTTCGGACGAAACCCCTCTCTGTAAACAAAATACTACTGGATAATGGCTTACAAAATGCATGCTAACCTACCCATGCATAGGTTGGCAGATCAGACCTGGATCCGCTCCTGATGCAAGATCAAATAAATGATTTACTTCTAATAAAAAATGTGGTAGATTACCTTTATGTTTGGATTTCTTATCTTCTTTGGTAGCTCCCACATCATTGCCATTCTCATCCTCTTCCGTTTGTGTTTCTATCACTGGGGGTGCTGCTTGTTCAAGGGTACGCGACAGAAAAAGTAGTACCCATCCAATCAACGGCAGATCCAGATTGCCTATAAAAAAATTTCAAATTTAAAATACACAATACGGACTAAAATGGTCCTACCAGATATTTTCAGTGAGCAGCTCTTACATGAATCCTTCATCTGGATTGATCATGTGACCAAGTAAGCCATGATTAGTTTGCTGATGAAGCTGTCAAGATGACAGCGAAAGTTACAACAAGCAACTTGTACTTTTACTTATTATACAAACTGACTAATCATGAATAAGGGAGCCTCTCAAAATAAGTCAACGCGTATACCCGTGTGGACCACGCGCAGTGATTAGTTCTGTAATCACCGGTCGTCGGCAACGCGTTGGGATTATTTCTTGGAATGTTCCATTTTTCTATAGACAGATGAAACAATCGTTCGTACCGTACTCCGCTAGCACGCACCCAGCTAGCCGCATACTGATTAGGCTTAACTTATCTGTAAAGGAATGACTGAATAATCAACTAATTAGCTAATCAACTTAATAATATTTATACAGTCAATTCCATACCTGTGCAACTTCTGTAGTATGCTTGTGTATTTTGCAGTGGCGAGAGCAGCTTTGCGAGGAGGCTGAGAAAATTTTCTAAAACACCCATGTTCCCCGACATGATGGAGCGGTGACCCATCAGAGCTAAAAGCACAAATACTCTATAAAAAAAATTAATACAATTTCATAATCAAACATTATATCACAAATAAAGATTTTATATGATGCTAGATCATAAATGATGTTTATAATTTGTAGTTGTAAACATTAATAATAAAAATAATAATAATAATTATAATAAAAATTGCATAAGCTTTAGCACTGACATACGGATAACCAAAAATTGGAAAAAATTAACTGACCTTTCTTGAGGGAACACCTCTGTTTGTTCAGAATTAAATAGTTCTTCCAAGGAGGTAGCCAGGAACTCTCCCCACCATACCTGAGATCGACAAACACGCAGCAACAATGCACCAGTACAGGTCTGTAAACGTGGTGTTCCGCACATTATCAGATTCTTGAACAGCGCTTTACAGCTGTCCATGCCCATAATACGTGTTAATGTCGCAGGACTCGAGTTAATTGATGTTATGCTGATGAGACATCCTACAAGATACTCAGCGACAACTCTTAGTTGGTCTGCGGAGGCAGCTCTGACAGACGACTCCTTGTCCAGAATCTCCAGCTTGAAGTCATCTTCTTGATTAACCTGTTTCAGCCTGTGTATAACTCTCTGAACGAGATTCAGCTGGTTCTGCAGTTGGATACACTCCATGTAGGCTTTTCGCATCTTGGTTGACATCCCGTTCTTATCCTCTTTGCGTGTCGCCTGGCTCGGACTTTGAAATGCACGATGTGCCTCATCCAGAAGATGTTCAAGGCGATCGCATGCTAGTCGATACCGACAGTGAATGTCTTCCTGTAGCATGGTAACTGACTGTGCGTATTGTTCGACGGAAACTGTTTCATCCAATGAGCTTGAAGCTGACAACTGCATCCCTGATACATGGTGTTCTTGCTCCCATGGAAACACAAATGAATGTCCGTAGAAGCAACCAATTGGTATTTTCGTTCTAACTGTATTACGGCCATATCGACCAATCACAGTAATCTAAAGAAGGATAGCAGAAATTATTGTAAACTTTGGCTATCATGCAAAGCAGTAATTAAATGTATAGCACATTCCTGAAGATTGTAATTTAAGAAGAAATAGTATTATAGACATAATAATAATCACTAATATTTTTAGTTTGTGTTGTAGTGGAAGAAGCAGTGGTACAACCCATAAAATCCATGGTTACAAACAAATATTCTGCATTACCTTAACATATCTACAAAGGGGTGGAGGTAGGAGGTCATTCATGGTCAAGTCTCTTTTGCTAATGTCCATTGAAACCACTAATCTTTGACCATCGATCTCTTCGCCTTGTGACCACAAATCAATTGAGAGGGATGCCAGCTCAGTACAAGATGGAATAAAGACATCCGTCAGAAGGATTGGCCGACCAAAATCAAGAGTTACATAACGTCTTGCCCCTGGAAAAAATATAATATTGCAAAGTAAATAAATTGTTTTATAATTGGTTTACTGTACCTATTCATACTTTTATCATAATCATCAACACCACACCTTAATAACCGCAATCACAATTGAATTGTCATCACTTTCTTCATCATCACCTCAATTATCATCATCCTCATTTATTAGGTAGTATAATACATACTCCAAGTATCGAAATGCACGCCATCGTGTCTGGATTCAATATTTCGACATTAATTATGTCATCATCAGGAATGATGGCATCTATTCATTTCGTATTTTAAATGATCATTGTCATAGTTGTCACCATAACCATCATCATCATTGTTACCACCACCATCAATATCATCACCACCACTACACACCGACATACCTCAATCATCACCATTATCTATTTATTAAATATTAAAAGAAAAAAAAGTAAAGCATTCCATAATACCTGAATGCATTCTATCAATGACCAGCAGGTGGGGTTGCGGCGGTTGAATCAAGCTCTGCACGCAGACAGTGCTGGCAGATTTGGTGCTTTGACCACCATTCGGGGGAGATTTGGTAGTTCCACCACTATTATTTCCATTCTGTAAGAGAAAGTAATAGGTAGAGTAACTCTGAGACATAATGGATATGATTGCAAGGAACTGTTGGTCTTAATACTGTAGTAGTCCTAATTTCTTCTTCAGAATAAAGTAATAATTTACTTATGAAGGAAATACAAATATGAATATTATATGTCATTTTCTAATATTCATATATACAGTATTTTCCTTCTTTTCGCAAACTTAAAATTGAATAATTTCTTTAATCTATTAAAAAAAACAAAAAAAACTGCATAATTCATTTCACAAATTACTTCAAATAATCAATCAATCAACCAATAAATCAATCAATCATTAAGCCAGAAAATTAATCAATTAATTAATCAATCAAATCTCTTCCAGACAAATTAGTAATAAAAACAAACACTGTTAGCTGGCTTGATAAGCAGTAGTTGAACATAGAGGTTAGTATTCGCTCACCTTGCCTGCTGGGCCATGCGTTATAGCCTGGGCAAAGCTCTTGCCAGGGCTTAGATACCATGAGGGGCCAGGCGTAGGCTCTAACGATAACTGGGCCCAAGAGTGGCTAGAGCTATTTGTTTTAGGCTGATTGGTGTACAAACTCTCTGCATTTGGATGGCCCAGAGAGGAGGCATACTGCAATTTCTGAGCAAGTTTTTGTTTCTAGAAAGCAAAAGGGAACATGAGTGTTGGTAACAGTTACAGCACACTCATCACATTCACAAATTGTTATAGGGACCTCATCAAGTTTGGCGCCCTCATCCTACTGGAAGGCCCTTTTACATTAAGGATATACTGTCTCTGTAGTAGAGTTAAAACTCTGTCCACATATGGGCATAATGATGTCATATTACACCCAAATATGGGCATAAAAAAAGTTTTTGTTGCATAACTTTTTAGTGTGGACAAATATAATCCAGTGTGGTCAATTGTGATGTAATCATTCAAACTTTAACAAAATTTTAGTATCCCTGAGCAAAAAATTGATTTATATAATAGGTGCAAATTTGAATATGGTATTTATAATAAATAAAATCTACCCTATATGCTACAGTTCTACAGTAAGATTTTCTAGTCCTAGTGGATCAGATAAAAATAACTATCAACAAACATAAAACCTAAAAAAGGTATAAAAAAAGATATAAAACAT